AAGTATTATAGATTCTAAGAAGTAATCCGTGGTATACTATATTAAGAAACTACTATTTTAATATATTCTCTTTAATTAAGGATATTTTATGCTGTTAATATCTTTTTAAGTACTAGATTTAATACTATTTAAGTATTTTTTAAAAATACTAATCTTAATATTGAAAGCTGTAGCGCACGCAGCCTTTATAAAGAATTTTCTATATTAAAAAATCTTAACAGTAAGAGCTATATATTTATTCTTATTAGCCATATTTATAAACACCAAAAAACCACGTGATTTAGTGATTTAAGCTCACTTTTCAGCTTCAAGACGGTCAAGGTAGCTGAGGATGTTGAGGATTTTGATGGGGGCACACGGAGCCGCCGGTTCGGTGTCCGATTACGTTAATCAAAATAAGCAGTTTTGTCTGTTTACTAACTACTAGATTAGGAATAGTGCGGTTACACCAACAATACACCCCGAAGTACCTCATCAATTATTACCTTAAAGTAAATTTTATATTAAATATCTCGTAAAAAGCTTTTGCATCCTGAGCAATCACACCAATACTTTCAAACATATTTATATATAGCCGGAATCATGGTAATAATACTTCCTATTATTAAATAGACCTATCTTCACTTTCATCTCTAAAAAGGGCCGTTTCATAAGCGGCTTAGGCGACCTGTCCGATTCCAACAAATTCCGACACGTGGACTCACCAGCGCCCACCAAGGACGCCTGCATAACTGAATTCCGGTGGGTTCGAGACTCTGACACTCACCGCGTACAGTAAGACTGTATATTATATTCCCGTTGGTGGGCATCTGCATCAGAAGACGAAAACCATACAAAACCAGGATATAGCAAAAAATCAGTCCCGTCACAGATAATCTATAAAAAAATAACCAGAAAAGGGCATCTGGATACATATACTAGAATCATATAATCTAAATTATTCTTCGTAATTCTCCAGTTATAAGGAAAGCTATACAAATTAGATATTATTATAATCTATTTCGAGCTCTTTTTAATGTTATTCTATACCGGGGCGGCAGATAAAAGAAAATCTAATAACTTCTTATAAAAAGAACTCTTATTCTCCAGTTATAATAACTTTCTTAACTCTAAAAGCAGATCTAAAGAAGTAGATTAAATTATTTTATTTTAAAGTTATACTTTTTCTAGCTGAAAAGTAATTATTAAAAATAATCAGAGAATTACTTTTTAGTAATCCCTTATACTACTATATTTTTAGAGTATATTATCTATATTTATACTACTCTTTAGTAATCCTAAGTAGATAAGTTTAAAGATATTAGTAATTAGCTAGTATATAATATAAGATTATACTATTCAAGCGCGCGGAATAATACAGTAGTTATTATAAAAGATAAATATTAACTAAAAAATATAATAAAAATAACCTAAATTCTGGAGTTATATTAAAAAAACTATAGGCCTTTATATTAAAGATTATAAAAATTAATATTTATAATATATTTAGTTAATATATTACAGAGATTCTATAAAAAATTTCTAAGTAAAGTTATAAAGAGATATTTTAAGTATTTTAAAGAACTTTAAACTGCTTAACTATAAGTTTACTAATCTTAATATAAAATAAATCTACTTACCAGTAATAATTAATATAGATAATTTAAATATTCTTTTAGAATTTATTAAAATCTGCTTAACTTTTCTACAGGTATAACTCTAATTAAGTAGTCTAAATCTTTTATTATTAAAGTTACCTTTTTAAAATATAGTTAATTTAATAATATTCTTCTGTTTTTTTTTCTAAATTATCTAATTAGCGTCGGGTAATTAATTTTGTATTATATTTTAAATTACTAATCTAGATTTTTAAATTAGTCTCTCTTGCTTTCCATTATAATACCTATTTCTTAAATAATATTATTAATAACTTTTAGATTAACTTCTACTTCTCTAGTCTTTTTATATCTTTTCTAATATATAATTAGCCTCTAGTAATTAATGTATAAGATCATTAATCTGCTTTTATATATTATTATATATATTAATCATTTTAAGGTTTTGAATTACAGCTGCTGCTGATAGTTCTAGATCTTTAAGTATATTAAAAAAAAATTTATCCTTCACCCGTGGATTCTAGCTGTTAAAGAGCATAATAGCACTCTAAAGCAATAAAGATAAAAGAACTTATAGAAAAAATAAGAATATTAATTTTATAGAATAGAACTCAGATATCCCAGGCAGGGATTACTATTTATTTAAAAGATTATATCCACCACTATTTAATAATATTATAAAAATACCAAGTAAGGAGCAGAAGATTAGTTCAGCCAGTACTCAATTTAATATTATATTAAGCATATAGTTTCTGTTCTTCAAGACACAACATTAAATCAGTATCACATTCCTTACTTCCTCAGTACACAGAATACCCATAACAAAGACAGTAAGGCGGGTTATTGTCCTAAAATTATTTACTCAAGATTTAAGTATAGCTATTATTATTAAATTGTTCATTAAGAAAAGATTATTCTCGATACTGAATTACTTACCTCTTTGTATCTATCGCTAAGACAGAATCTAATAAGATAGAGAATATACTTAGCATTATCGATGCAAGGAAATTATTGGCAATAACATGGAGCAGTGTGGGTACCACGTGCATAATGACACGGCATGCCGTATGTACTGTAGCTCGCCTCACCGCGTAATGTATCGACGAAAACAATAGTCATATGTGGTTCAAGTGGTAATGTAATCCACAAGCGGGCTGGCCACACAAGCGGGCTGGCTACCTTGCCAAGTATTCTGGTTTATATAGATTTTTAACCTTAAAAATCAACATATTTACACTGTTAAAATCACATTTTCTTAGTATTAATTTCTTAAAGAGTATTTTATATATATATAACTAATTTAATTATATTCTAAATACCAGGATAGTATACAGTAGTAAAACTATTTTTTATTAATTATTTCTAAAAATCTTTTAGTCTCGGGTATTTTATTAATTTTATAAATTTACTAAAAAGTCTTAACTGCTTTACTAATAGTTAAGTTATTAAGATTTATTATTTAATAATAATTTTATTTATTCTTTTTTTCTTAGTATTCCTTAGTAGCCTGGAGTTAGTAGTTTTTAAATTTAAATAAAATAACTTAGTTTAAGATTATTTTAATATTTTTTATAATATATAATATAGCTATTTTTATAGAAGATAATAAATTCTATATTTATTTATAAAATAATTTTTTAATTATAATTTTATATTTTTTTAATTATTTTATATTTCTAGAAATTTTTAATTATATTAAAACTATATTCAGCTAGTTAATTAGAATAATTTTATAAAAATAATAAATTAATTTTTTAAATATTTATTTTAATTTAAATAATACCAGCCCAGCTATTTAAAAAATATTTTTAATTATTAAATTTTTAAAAGTTTTAATTTAAGTATCTAGATATATATTAAAAAAATTAATTTTATTAATATAATAAATATTTATTTAAATAAATTTCTTAATTAAATTATTATATATCTTTTTAAAAGATAAGAAATATATAATATTAAGAGATTAGTAAAAATATAAAAAATATAAAAATATATAAATTAAAATAATATTATTTTAATTATAGATTTTATTAAATTCTGGTATTAAGTAGAAATTATACTTATTAAAAATTAAAAAATTATATTAACTAATTTTAAAAGACTTTATTAAAAAAATAAAATATTTATAAAACTAATATTAATTAATTTTATTACTAATTTATTTATTTAGTAAAAAATTAATTTTTTATATATAAAATATCTTATCTTTATACCAGATTTTTATATAGATTTTTTTTTAAGAATTAAATAAAAAAATAGGGCCTAGTCTAAAATATTAATATATTTAATTAATATTATCTATTTATAATTTCTAAGCTAAATAAAAAATAGTTTATTTTTATAATTAAATCTTATAATTATATATACAGTAGTTACTAAACTTATAATAAAATTAATTTTATTAAAATTAAAGATATTATTATCTAAAATATTATATTTTAATATAACTTTATAAATTTAATTAAACTATTTTCTAATAATAACTAGATTTTTATAATAAATATATTAATAATTATATTAATAAAAAAATTAAATTTTTAAGAAATTATATCTTTTAATAAAATTATATATTTAGTTTTTATTTATAATTATATATACAGCTGAGTTATATTTTTAAATTAAGATATTAATTATTATATAAATCTAGAAGGGTCTAGAAAAAAACTTTATTTATTTAAAAAAAATCTATTTTTCTAAGACTTCTTCCTCTGCGAGAATTAATTTATATAATTTAATATATATATTATTAATTATTTTAATTTCTTAAAGATATATCTATAGAGTTAATCTTAGAATATTATAAATTACTATAACTTAATATATAAATAGAATTTTTCTATTTTTAAAAGTCTTAATTATTAAAGTAATCCTGTCCTCTTATTCCACTAAGTCTTTTATTAATATAGTTATTTTTAGTAATTTAGTGGGTGGTTGATTGACTTCAGTTTTCGTGGGGTGGAAGGAACACGAAGTGGTGGCCAGCCCGCTTATGTGGCCAGCCCGCTTGTGGATTACGTTACTGGACCTTGAAGAAAAGGTATGAAATTTCTTATATTGTATTAAACAAATCTGACTTAGCAAGATAAAAAATTGTCGCTGGGGCTATACAGTACTACGAACCGGACCTGGTCCAGCTCGGTTTCATAACACAGCCGGCCCAGTGTACCTTCTTCCCATTCATATAATAACAGGTTCTCCCACCGTGTCAGGGCTGCAATTACAACCGGGTTGGATACTTTATATAACACACGAAATTGAAGTTGGACCTGGGCTGGATGGGCTTTTCATCGCCGAATTATAACCAATTTAATGTACTGCGATACCAACACTTAGGAACTTCCGAGATCTGCACACGTTCGATTGACCATATGTCCATCACATGTACGGGCGAAAAATGTGTTTTCGCAAGGAAATTGCTTCGCAGGCGGTAATTGACTTCCTAGTAGGTACCTAGTCACCACGCTCCATCCGGAAGGTGCAAATACTGGCGTATCGTTCTTCTCAAGTTAAGTGCCATGGTGGTGGTGGTGGTGTTGATGACGGAGGTCGTGATCATGACGCCGATGAAGATGCTCAGACCCGTTGCGCTTTGCAGGGGTACTCGGTGTGGGTTGTTGCGGTTGGTTCTAGACATGTACCGTAGAGTTTTAGCTCAGAGCCCTTGGCCTGGGGAAGGGGGAAGGAGGACGAGGAGGGGGTGGTGAGCGAAGTCGATTGAGAACGAGAGGAGGGGCTGGTCGTAGAAGGTGAAGGGGGAGAGAAGCGGACAACAGCTTCTGGAAATAGGGCAGCATACCAGACCGTGACTTGACACTCTTATTCTCGAAGACGAGGTGATAGAGACCTGGGGGGACTCCGCAGAGGAGGATCCGGTACAGAGGCCCGAGATAAAAAGCGGGTTTTTCGCCTGAGACCGCGGCTGCTCGCGGTAGAGTTGACATTCCTTGCCGGAACTGGAATACAGCCAGGCCCGACAGGAGGACACCTCGCCACATCTTGTTGCACAGGCAGAGGCGCTGGGGATCTCGAAGGAGAAGGTCAAGGGGGCATGGCTGAAAAAGGAGATTGTGTTTTCTTGGATGACTGGTGAGCAAGCAGAGGTGAACTCCAGCGCTGAAGTTGCTCTTGTTTGGAGGGCAAGGAGGATGACACCCATGGACATGGACCAACGAGGTATCTTCATGTTGATTCAGAAGGACTGAGCAAGCACAGGCAAGCAGAGACTGTGCAGGTGTCGCGATCTTCAATGAGGTGATATAGGAGGGGCGAGCCAACCCATGATGACAGACGACGAACAAGAGTTCCAGTCGTCTGACTTATCTTTGACTTTGGTATATAGGTGTACGGCAGGTGCAACTGAGGCATTAGATATTGAACCCAGGCACTAGACCAGGGACTATTGAAATTAGTGTAATGGGGACTCGGGGCAACGGCTGTTTACGGCTATAGCGTGTTACCGTTGTGGCATTTTAAGATCTCTATATACCCTCGCACTAAATCGAGACAACCCCCGAAGACTAATGGTAGACTAATGTAAGTTTCCATTTCATTTCAATGAAAGGAAGGCGAACCGGAATATAGCAAGATAGATCTAGAGCCTGTTTTTCACGGACGCCCTGCGGACGGTCCGGCGTCGGGACAAGATGTTACGGGGATTCATATCCAGCACCAGCTGTTCCATCCCTCGCCCGTCGTGCCGTCTTTTCATCGTAAGGGAGAAGCGTGATAATATGGTGCCCCACGCACGCATCAATGGCCTTTTGCGCGCGCTCGTGGTCGCCGAGAAATTCTCCACGCCAGATTTCTGCCTCAGCCGCAGATATCGGCCAATGCTCAATGTGTTCCATGACAGAACACACTAGCTCTGGAGGTAAGCGCTTATCTAGATTGGCTGCCTGTCTCGCGGCCGTGGCCCACCAGTCATGCTGTTGCGGAGGCACATTCCGTGTTGAGCAAATACGGTAATGTGGGTCGACGAGACGAAGCTTGACCAGGGTCAAATTCCCCGGCTGACTGGGGTCCACCAGGCGAAATGGCTCTTGCTTGGTGCGATAGGTATTGGGCCAGGTCAGCAGTTGGCCCTCTCTGAGCGGCGTCGTGCCGAAGGTATGCAGGGCTCGGGGGGGTCTCCTCTCGGTGTAGGGCTTCCAGTAGTCCACATCGAGAACTGTTGCGAGCGCCTGGGGCACCTCGCACTGGAGCTCACTGGCATGGACTTTGTCTTCGTGCTGAAACGCCACGCGAGCCTGGGTGATATTCTTGGCCTCCACAGCATAAACGCTGGTGGCAACAATCCGTTCATTGCGCAGTCCCTCAGTGTGGAAGTGGCTCTCCCCGGAGTACGTTGGATTCTCCGGCGTCAAGTCGATGCGGGCAATTTCCACCACGACCTGGAGGCCTTCGACTCGAAATTGCTTCTCTAACTTCACCGGGGTGTAATCATGGTGCAGGGGATCGGGAAATCTGCTGATTCGCTGCGAGTGGATTGCTCGCCCTGTAAATCGGTCTCGCTTCCATTGCTTATACGAAAAAGAATACCCGGGCTCGGGGTGATCGAACCAGGCTTGGCGGGTGCGCTTGAGTCTCGCAAGTATGCGTACCTGCTTAGGGATGTCCCACTGTCCCGGAGTGAGCAGATCCAGCAGATTGTCCGGCGCGTCGGGCAGGGGATCCGCCTGCTTCCATTTCGGTGGCTCGGGCCCTTGCACGTACTCCCGGACCGCGCTACAAAGCTCTTGCCACTTCTCGTACATCTTGCATTGCATTTGCCAGCGGGGATACGATTCTATTCGGTCGAATAATAGGTGCTCCTCACGAGGTTTATGGATTCTGCATCCATAGGTCAGGATGCGTGGCGGATGGCGGCCACGGGTATTACCGTAAAATAAGACCTCATTCCACGAAGGGATAGAACGCGCGATCAGGTGTTCAAGGTATCCATACAGCTGACGGTGCTCGACTGGGTGTAGGTTATTGACGTAGGAAGTGATTCGGATGTCCATGGGGTCCGTGTCCGTGTGCGCTGTCGCCGTATCCTTGAACTGTACTTCACAGGGAAGCCATTGAAAGCGGTTCGACCAGCAGCTCTCCTGCCCACCAAGCCCGGGCTTGCGATGTAAAACCGTAAAAGGAGTAATCGGATGTTGGAGACCATCTAGGGGATGAGGAGGAGGAGAAGGAGCCGGCATGTCTCCGACAGAATTCCCCACCGAGCTCCATAGATCGCTCAAGGCCACCTGGCCGCCATGAACGAGGACTCTGGAGTGGCCATAGACGAGAGGATACAGGCACGGATCCACCAGGGGGCAATCTGGAAGTACCAGCGGCGATGAGCGCAATCGGGCTACCTCGGCTTGGAACCCTTCTTTTAGCTCTTTTTTCTGGGACGGTCGGTTGGACCCTGATACTGACACATCGGATTGACACACGACCGAGGAGCTGTCAAAGATCAAAAGACGGCCTGTTTTCCGCCACTCCCCGGCCTTATCGCGCAGTTCGGCCAGGCACCAATCCCATGCGGCCGCACTGATGAGGAAGCCCTCGGGTCCTTCCGTGGCCTCTCGGTGCCAGTGCGTGAGGAGGGCCTGATCAGAGTCCAATATCGCACGATCCCATTCGGGCTGCTCCGTAATGCGTTGCATGAGGCGAAGCATGGCTATCTCCCGTCTGGTCAGGCGAGGGGAGTGGCGATAGTCCACGAGGCCATGGGCAAAGCGCGCCTCTGGCGGAAGCTGATAGTCTAAGGGGATGCAGCCGAATCCAGGCACCTCGAGCGGGCCTTCACCAGTGTTGACAAGCCTCGTCATGATGTTTTTGTTTTTGTTTTTTTCTTTTTCTTTTTCTTTTTTTCTATGAGGAGGGAAATTTCAGTAGAGTGATTAATGATTCCTGGCCCAGGGAATGGGAATGAATTCGTGATGGGGTTTAAATAGTGGAATGGTGCAGTTTAATTGATTACTTAGGTTTACTTAGGTTTACCTAGGTAACAAGTTAATTTCACTACCTTTACCGCGTTCGGGCTTCAGCTCCGTGCCACTTGTCTCTTCGATGACTAGTCACGGAAATTATTTATTTTAATCAAGATTTCGAAAGACACATACAGATAGCAGTACACATGCAGTAGAGTTAGAGAAAAAAAAAAAAAAAAAAAAAAAAAAAAAAAAAAAAAAAAAAAAAAAAAAAAACAAAAAACAAAGAAAAGTGAAAGAGAGGAAATAGAGAGAGAGAGAGAAATAGGCTGGAAAGAAAGAGAAAAAGGCAATAGCAGAAAGAACCGGAAGGGCTGCAGACGGGAAATCCTTCAGCAAAGATGAGAGAGAAAGAGAGAGAGAGAGACCGAGAAGGATATCCTCTCCCTAGCCCCTTCCAATTCAATGGTCTTTTTCAAGCCAAGCCAAGCCAACAGAGTGAAGGATACGTACATCATCCCAGGGCCTTACAGGTAGCTAAGCTGCCCAGGGCGTCGGACTGAGTGCGGATCGATTGCGCGATCTTCACATGGATTTTCAGCTTTTCGGGATCATACTTCTCGGTGGCCAGGTTTCGCCCCATCTCCTCGAAGCCATCCAACTTATCCTGAACGTTGGTGTTGGTTGCCGCAGCAGTGGCCTCAGCACTTGCCAACCAATCAATGTCCTGATAGTTGAGTAATACTGCTTCCAAGCTCACCGTTTTCTCTATGATTCTTGCGCCGGAAAATGAGTTGTGTATAAAGCTCTTCTTGTCCGCTAGTATATCCTACTCACGCTTAGTATGAGCCGACGCGAGTGCCGTTTTAACTTTTGTGAGAAGCCCCCCCTGAAGTACCTCTGGATGGTTATTATGTGCGGTAATGAGAATATTGGTGGCTTTCTCAAGCATTAAAGTATGTTTGACCTCTTCGCCAAATATGGTCTCAGAATTGTATTGATCGAAGTTATTGTTGTATATAGCTTTGGTGAGCTCTAATAGGTTATTAGGGTGAGTAGTATCGCCAATGCCCTCTCTGTCTTTAAGAGATGCCGTGTCATATAAGGTCTTAATGTTTCTGATGAACTTCTATACGGTGTAAACAGTGCCTGTAAGGGAAGTGTACTGTCTGTCTAGGGTCTGCTTGTCTCTGTTAATAGCTATATCAGCTAGGTAGCTATAGTAGAGATATATAGTCTTAAAATAGTGTGCTAGAGCGGAGTCTCCGATCACCTGGGTGAAGGTATTGCTGGAAAAGAAGGCTAAGAGCCAGAGAAAGATAATAGCAGTCTGTATAATAGAAAATAAAAGAAAAGTAAACGAAAGAGACAGAATAAGTAAAGAAGCTGGTAAGTACTCCGCGCGTAGAAGGATTGAAGCTGTTAGTATACTTTTATCCAGCTTACTTTAACCGGACATGATTTATATAAGTTAAAAACGGATGTAAATCTTTAAGATAATTTCTTCTAATTCTATCTGGCGGAGCCCTTCTGATAGTATCTACTGGTATGTCTCTATTAGGAAGTTCTAGTATATACCTAGGTAAAAATGGTGAGAACTAAGGCAGCGGATAATTTGAGCTAGTAAGAGAGCTAGAGGATTAGAACTAGTTATTATAATTAGTCCTGCGTGGTTTATATAGCGTCAAGATCCAAATAAAAAAACTATATTAGAAATAGATACTGTGATTATAGTAGATAATATTTATTTTTAATCTTTTCTCTCTTCTTCTCTTTTCTTTTATCTTTTTCCTCTTTTTGTCTTTCTTTCTTTTTTTTTTTTTTTTTTTTTTTTTTCTTTTTTTTTTTTTTTTTTTTTTTTTTTTTTTTTTTTTCTTTTTTCTTGGTGGTTTTTTCGTCCTTTTTTTTCTTATTTTATTCTATGCCTGCTACCTCCACTGAGAATATAAAATAATATTAACTATATATAATCTGTGAATTCCGGCTCCTACTGCTATGATAAAATAAGATTTTTAGGATAGATAACTGTCTGTTTCTAGTTTTTTAGTTACTTATTTTATCTTTTAATTAGTGCTTTTAGTTTTCTTTTCTTTAAAACATTTTTTCTTTATTCTTTAGAACTCTGCTTGTATAATGTTATTGAGCTTCTATTATTTAATTTAAATCTGGTAGTTTTAATACTTTTTTTTTCAGATTTATCTACAATAGGGCTTCTTTAGAGTCTTGTTATTATAATATATATACTAACTTGCTAAGTTCAGGCGAGAGCAGTATTTATATATTTTATAGTGTATGATGCCCTTTTCTCTCCCACTTTCTTTCTAATTATTAACAAGCAAGTGAACTAATAAATTATAGGTTTCGAACATAGCTGGATATAGCATGTCTGACTGGGAGAATCATATGACTAAAGCTATCTACGTGTATATTAATATATTTGCTCTTAATATTGCGAATAGAGAAAGTACTACTGAGATCTCTCTTAGTAATATTTTTATAGCCGCCCAGAATACTAGGTTCTGGTTGTTCTTCTTATTTAATTATACTGGGAATGGCGCCTGGGCTAAAATAGATATAATTAGCTTACTTAATATTTACAGTAGTATCTTGGATACCTATTAGTATTATAACAGCTAATCCTTATATTTAATATTTAAAGGACCGGGCAATGCTGCTGATTGGATAGATATTAAGAAGTAGACTGGATATTTCTTTATTCTAGACTGGTCTTCTCTCGGCGCTAAGGTGGTAATAGAGTAAGCTAATAAGATAATTGACAGGCTCTTTAGCTGGGCTGCCTAGCTGTATGGCCTGTCAGATATGGATACCTATATTGATGTCTCCTACCAACAGTATCTGGGTAGTAAACCTTATATAATACCTGTATTACTATGGTTCTTCACTAATATGCCCGGGTATGATAAGAATTAGCTGTAGCGCGGTGATGACCTCTAGTATAATTATTAGCAACAGGTCCTTTATCTCACCCCTGAATTTGTTGAGATTATTTCCTGGAATGATTATAACGAGTCTTACTATATTAGTCCTTCGTATAACAGTTATAATACACTGGCCGCAGCCTTTTATATTACCTTTAACCAAGGCTATGGCGATGCGCCCTATAATTATGCTGAAGCCTATAATTACAGCGGCTGGAGAGCTTTGCTTTCTTTCCTTATTAATATATATAAGAATAATATTACTACTATTATAGAGAAGGGCCTGTCAGCATAATATTGCTTGAATGTGGCTGGTGTGTGTATCTCCGACAGTAGGACTACAGGGAACACTGTAAGCTAGTTATAGCTAGAGTATTAAGCTAAGGATATCCCGCAGGATAAGATCTTCTATTCTGCAGTGCTAGGCTCGGCTGCTTAGGTCTCGGTTATAGTAGATAATATAGACCTAGGAGTAAGCTGGATTCATACTTCTAGCGGTAATGTAGATATCTATTATAACAGTATCGCATTTACTGGCCATGCTGGGGGGGTGATAATCACTATTACCTATAATAGTAATACTGTGGTTTTACTCGGCGGCAACGAGATTTCCAGCGGGTGTTCAAATACCCTTAAGATAAAGAACTGGAATATCTGGGTCGGTAGTGTAATAACAGGGAACGCTATCTTAGTGAAGCCTACTTTGCTGGCCGATAAAATCTGTGTTGAGGGCTGGGGAAAGGGCAACTTTACCAGGTTATATGAACTTACTTACAGTCTAGGGTATTGTCTTATAGGAGTTTATATATACTTAAAAATGGGACCCCTGTCTACTATACCTAAGGCCACAGGGATCCGGGGCTATCCTATAATAGGTGAGAGCCTCAGCTATAGTGGACTTTGTTTGTTTACCTGTAACTATAGTAATTGCCTTGAAGGTGTCTGTGGCATAGTAGAGGTGCCCCTGACTATACCAACTATATCCTTGTTTACTCCGGATACCTGCACCGCGGGGACTGGATCCGGGGTGTTCACCAGCCTGTGTAGTTATGGCTGTAATGTGGGATACTGCTTTATTCATAACTGTACCTGCACGGCCACGGGTCCCTTAAATGTTCCTGCAGCTGCCAACACCAGTATTACTAGTATTTTAACTGTTGGTGGGGACAGCGGGCTCTATAACTTTACCTGTGAGTGTAGGTACTGTCCCGGTCCTACCTGTATTAATAATATAGATAATATGGACCCCTACGCGACTGACGACAGGCCTAATCCTGAATGTGTGTTGTCCGAGATCTACGACTTCAGCCAGATCTTTGCTATCCTGGATATGCTGGAGGCCGCAGTAGATATGCTGCAACCCGCCTGTGTGGATTTCTATATACTTAACAGGCTGGTGACGGTACTTCAGCAGACCCTGACTAACTATATGGGAATTACTAGCAGCTACGATACTAAATTTAATAATTATGTTAAATATATCAAGGAGATGATTCCTGACCAGCTGGCGGTATTTATAAGTACTGATATCTTTTATAGGCCTGGAAACACCTATTTCCAGTACATGTACAGTTAAAACGGGTGTAATCATACCACCGGCTCGTGCCCCGGTGATATTGGTATTAACACAGGTACCTTTACTGTATACTACCAACTCGTGGATGTAGAAGGCTTCTACAGCGACCTGTTAGCTGACTATGGTATTGACCAGTCCTGGGTACAGTTTGGCACGCAGGAGCTCGACGAGCCGTGCACGCCTGCTATATACAAGACAGGCTGTGTAGTGATCCACTGTATCTATGCCGGGTTTCTGGTTAAGGCGGCTGACAGTGCAATCACGGTGGCCAACCCTAAGAAGATCATGGTCTAGGTGCTGCCTAATATGCAGAATCTCACGGCAACTATCAGCGTGGCCAAGATTAAGCTTGCCCTAGGCTCGTGGCTGGGCACCACCGATGACCTGGTGTAATCATTATTATTAGTGGTCTTTATGCTTAGCTAAGCGGTAGCTAGTATATAGACAGTAGTTACTACTGCTGACTTTTATAAGGCTGTTAAGAAGAAGGAGATGATTAACAAGATCCTGATGGGGGTGCTCCTGATTGTGTCTTTTCTGGGTGAGCTGGAAGCGGTTGCGGATGTCTTTGTGGGCCTGTCGCGTATTATTATGATGATTAGCGATGTCGGGATTGGGGTAATCATGGTTTATGTTATTGTTGACAACCCTAAGATGGCCCTGCTGACGATCTTGGAAATCCTTCTGTTGGGCGGGATATATGATCTTAATGAGTTCGCTATTATGGGTTCGGTAAGACGTGCTATGACTAAAGATGAAATTAAAAGTCTAGGTACTGAGATCGAGGCCCTAGATGACTAGTTTTAGTTGATTGTCGCGAAGTGTTTGTTAACCTGAGCCCGATCCTCTTCTAAGTTATCTGATCATCTTTGTACAAGTATACTAGTATTATGTCTGTTGTTTTAGTGGACAAAGTCTCTTGTTTTTTCCTGTTTGGTTGAGGGTACAGCTTACTGCTTTGGTTATGTGTTAATAATTTCTTTTTAGAGCTCTAAGATCTATTATTTTTATACTTTTTATTGGGTTATAAGTCCTCTGCCTGGTTTGTCTGTTTTTTATTAAGAAGTATTATTTTTTATAGTTACTTGTTAATCTCTTTAAATCTTCTAAATTAAGTAAGTTCTTAAAACCTTATAGATTTCGGATTTCTATAGATATTTATTATCTTTGTTTTTTTTTTTTTTTCTTCTTTAGTATCTTTTTATGGAGAATTGATAATAGCAGTAAATTACTTAGGATATATATTAATTATCCTATTTATTTGTTTGTGATTTACTATATAGATAATATATAGTAATCTTAATAAAGTAATAGACTGTGCTCCTGCTAATACTACTATAGGTTGATTAATATTAAGATACCTGTTTACTATTACGTGGATCAGATCAGGTCGGATGGTTGATTATTATATATATTTTATGGTTTGTTTTTTTAGAAAATATACTGAATACTCTTCCGGTGCTGGGGAGTTCTTGGTATATTAATTAAATAGCTTTTTGTTCTAACTTCCTCGGTGTTAATAGTGTCGGGGTAGTGTCGGAGACCAGTAGTCTTCTGTTCTTCGCAAGTATATGTGTATAACTAACTTGTCTATTCTATGCGTGACCTGTTACTACTGTTATGCTAAGGTAATATGGATTTTTTAATTATTTAGAAGTATATTTAATCAGGGACTTGGCTAGGTTATACAGGAGCCCTGAGAGATATATACTGATCCCGGCGTCTAGAAAAGAGTGTAAACTAAGGTAATGCTGTAAGTAAATAGTAGATATTATTAATCTTTTTTTGTTGGTTGCTTATTTACAATAGATTCTTTTTTAGGGTATTATATGAACCCCCTGCTTTACATCCGGAATATTATACGGAGTATATCTAATTGTCCAACTCAGTGTAGTTAAGCCATTGTTCGTGTATGACTAAAATCAGGTTAGGGTATATATCTCCGGCCGCGTTAGTAAGTAAATATATAAAAGGGAAATAAGGTAAACTCTCTAGTAGGAAAGAGATATAGATAGTCCTGTTGACACTGTTATTAATATAAAGATATTCAGCTATGATTAAATATATTAGGGCTTGCTTATTTACTGCTTCAACTCCTTATAGGAATAGTTTTATAATTAATATCTGTAATATTTTGGGGTACAAGAACACAACTTTTCTAGGTTAATCTGTAAGTGAGATTCTTGCTGTTTAGAGACAAAGGTATGGCTTTATAGGATAAGGGCTTATTGTCTCCGAGAGATTTAGTAGATATTAGTAGAAGATCACAGGTTGATTTATTTTGAACAGGTCTTATTTTTGATTATATAAGTTAAGTATTTGTTTATCAGATACAGAGTAAGCTAGGGTATGATAGAAGATAGAGTTTAGAAGATATAAAATAAATAGGAGCCTATGTTTTAGGCTTATTAAGAAGAGGAAGCTGAAGTTAGACAAGATAAATAAATTAGCTGATTATCTGGTTAGTGGATATCTACTCTTTTTTTTTCTTCTTCTTTTTACTTTTGTGTTTTTAGGGCTTATTTTTTTTCTTTAATAAAGTGTAGAACTTCTTCAGGTAAAGAAATTTATTTAAGTAGAGTTATAAATAGCTTGGGGAAAGGATCTTCTTATCTAAGTACTCTGCTTGACGCAGATCTCTGCGCTACGTGGAAAGACTGTATATATATGTCTTATGTAGATTTATTACACAGTGAGTATATTTGCTGAGTATAGATATGATATTAGAAGCAGAAGAAAACAGTAAGCTAGTTTATTATTTAGATTTAGTAGATTAAAGAGCAGGAAGAAGACTACCAGGATATTTCTTAATAGTATTTAATTTGAAAATAAGAAAGTATTTTAAAGACGGTAATACTGATATCTAGTAATATAGATCTGGTCTATTAGTGCTTTATATATTTCCAGTTATATCTTTTTTTATTGTAAGGGTGAGTAGTGGTATAATAGGGTAAGGATGATATGCTTTGTGTTATGATTCTCTATTTATAATAACTTCTGTTATTTCTAAGCTGGGAATAATTAGTTGGCTCTAGGGTATATCTTAATATACTTATATCTTTGAGTAACTACTCTTAACTTTATTATTACTATTATATACTTAAGTAATGACTGTAGATTAAGAAGGAGATAAAGACTCTCTTTTTAGTAGTAGGCTGTAGAAAGATATATAAGTCCTGTTGGATACTCTAGATCCTGATAAACCATACCTGAGTTCCTATTAGTATATTCTTAAGACTGATTTAATTTTCTAGTAGATTTTACTTAGTGTTTTAGCTTATTTAAGAAAATAAGAAGATACTATTTATCTAGTAAGATAGATAGTAGAGATTAGGGGAAGTCAGACTGCTAATAACTGTAGCTTATATTATATCTACTAGAAAATATAAACTTTCTTTATTTATTGTATAGATTATAATAATCTTATAACTGGATTAAATGGCCTCCTTCTTTTATATTAAGATAGAATTAGAGTTAGGCTATTTATTAACTTGTATATTTTTTTAGTAAAGTTAGGTTAAATATCTCAGCTTCAGCTGTTCTCTTAGAGTGGCTTAACCTGACTGTTATACCTTAATCTTAACCTGACCATAACCTGGTAATTAGGTTAAGATATAAAAAGTAATTTAATTATATAGTTAAGATTAGGTTAAGATATAATTATTACTTTAACTATTTATATTTACTAATTAGAAAAATTAGATATAACAGATAAATTATTAATTATAAATTAATTAAGAATATATATATCTTTTTTATATAAATAATATATAAAGTATAATATATTTTTAATTATAATATAATTATATTTTTTATATTTAGTTTATTTATTCTTTCTACTTTATTTATTTTATTTTTTTTATTTATTTTATTTATTTTTCTTAAGAAATATATTATACTTTAAAAAAAACTTTTATAGAACTTAATATAAGAAGAATAGTATCTAATATAAAATATATATATTAATTATTTTTTATACTATCTAGAATAATAATTATAATAATATAAAAATTATAAAAAATAAACTTTTATTTAAAAATATATAATATTTATATATTTAGATAAAACTATTTTCTTTATTTCTAATAATAATTTATTTTCTAAATTATTTTTTAGATTATTTATATTCTTATTTTTATTAATATAAAAAATAATAATTATTTTATTCTTTTTTTAATTTTTAGATATAAAAATAATTAAATCTAGATTAAGATTTTTAAGAATAATCTAATATTTTTTATTTATAATAAAATAATTAGTATATATCTAAAATTAGAGTGGCTTAACCTGACTGTTATATCTTAATCTTAACCTGACCATAATCTGGTAGTTAGATTAAGATATAAAAAATAATTTAATTATATAATTAAGATTAGGTTAAGATATAACTATTATTTTAATTATTTATATCTGCTAGTTAAGAAGATTAGATATAATAGATAAATTATTAATTATAGATTAATTAATAATATATATATCTCTTTTATATAGATAATATATAAAATATAATATATTTTTAATTATAGTATAGTTATATTTTTTATATTTAACTTATTTATTTTTTCTATTTTATTTATTTTATTTTTTTTATTTATTCTATCTATTTCTTCTGAGGAATACTGTACTTTAAAAAAGACTTTTATAAAATTTAATATAAAAAGAATAATATCTGATATAAAATATATATATTAATTATTTTTTATACTATTTAAAATAGTAATTATAATAATATAAAAATTATAAGAAATAAGCCTTTACTTAAGAGTATATAATATTTATAAATTTAGATAAGATTATTTTTTTTATTTTTAATAATAATCTATTCTCTAGATTATCTTCTAGGTTATTTATATTCTTATTTTTATTAATATAAAAGATAATAATTACTTTATTCTTTTCTTAATTCTTAAGTATAAAAATAATTAAGTTTAGATTAAAATTTTTAAGAATATTCTGGTACTTCTTATTTATAGTAAAATAATTAATATATATCTAAAATATAACTACTTTAATTATATTAAGTTAAAGATAATTCTAATAATAATAGTAGATATTTTAAGAATTATTAAATAAATATTTAATATTAATATTATTAATTATAATAAATAGGAAATCTTTAGTTATCTAATAAAAAATAAAAAACTAATTATAATAAGACTTTTAGTAAATAAGAATATTAATATATTTTATAATATTTAAAATAATATTAATTAAATTAAAGATAAGTTAATAAATTATATATTTTTAATATTTAAATATATTTTAAGTTTTTTAAATATTTTTACTGTAGATAAGAGCCTCTAGTATTTAAAAATATTATAAAAACTTTATCTAGATTTAAAAATAATCTAGAAATAGTAAATAATATATTAATAATTAGATTCTGATTATAATAAAAATAAAATACTTTTTTAAAAATAGTCTAGTATTTATTATATTAATTAATATTATTATTAAATTATATATTTTTTTAAATTTCTTAAGCTTAGATATTAGATTAAGAATTATTATAATTATATAAATATAGTTTTTTATTTAGTAAATATAATAATAGTATTTTTATAATTTTTAATATATATTCTATAAGTTCTTAAGAATTTTTTTATTTAGGATACTTATTTTTTTACTAGTTAATTAATAAAGTAATCTAAATAATTAAAAAAGTTATTATAAATATTATAAATCTTATAAATAATAAATCTACTATTCTTAAATAAATAAAATATAAAAAAAAAATAAATATAAAAGCTTAAAAAAATACTCTATTTATTTTTATTTAATTAAAGTTAATTAAAGATAATTAATATTAGTATAATTATAGTATTAAATAAAGTTTTTAATTATTTAATAAAAATTAAATATCTAGTAAATTATAAAATAGATTAAATTTTAGTAAATTTTATAATCTAGAAAAAGATAATAAATTAAATTAAATTTTAATTATTAAATAAACTAAAACTTCTTATAATATTAAAAGCTTATATCTATAAATTATATAATCTTTTAAATCTATAATTAAAAATTAATATAATATATTATTATAGAAAAAAGATTTTTAAAAATTATTTATAAAAAGTTTTTATAGATAATTTTTAGAATATATCTTTTTAAAAATCTTTAAAATACTAGAAGAAACTTTAAGATTTTTATTATTATTATTCTAAATATATTTAATAATATTATTTAAAACCTTAATCTAAAGTTTCTATAAAAAAATATTAATTATAAGTTAAATTATATAAATAAAATAGAGAATATAATATTAATTTTAAATAATTTTTATAAAATTAAAGTTAATAAAAATATTATAAAATTAAATATTCTAATTAAATTAAGTCTAGAGTTCTAATAAAATTAAACTAAATATTAAATTATTATTATTAATATTATTAATTATTATAC